CCGCCGCCGCCTCACCCCACGCATCCCCTCCTGGCTCCGGAGTCAGGCACCACCAACGGCTGCAGAAAGTTGTGCAACTCACAGCACCTCCCGGGGGAGCGGCCCACGTCAGCAGAGACGATCTTCCCTCCGGATGATATCACTTCGGAAACAGCTACGCCAGAGCAAGTGTGGGAAGTGCCCACGTGTGGCATGAGTCAGGAGGCAGAGCCCCAAGTGACAGAGAGGGGACACGGCAGGCTCTGGCCGGGCAGGGTCACCCCCATGCTCCCACCAGGATTTTCAGCCACGGGGCAACTGCGTCCCCACAGCCGTGGGTGCCAAGCACAAGATGCCAGCGCTGCCACGCCTGGGTCACAGTCACAGCCCTGTCCCCCCCCGGACAGACACCCTGGCGCAGGGTGACAGAGAACTTGCTCAGCTACATGGCGTTTCACCGGCAGTCCCACAAGAAAAAGATGCTGGACAACCACTTCGTACTGAAGCATTGTTTATTAATCACCTGTATCAAGCACACATCTGCTCAGCAACGGTGCGTGACGGGATACAACAGTTGACACCTAACCCGAAGGGAGGCACGTGGTTACGGGAGGCGGCACAGCGGGAGGAAGTGTACTGAACCCCCTGGAAAGACAACCCGGGTGCAACACGGTGCTCAGGCTATGTTGTGAGGAGACTGGAGACCAGTGAGAATAAAATTAGGAATACAACTAAGATTGGAGCCAACTTGTGCTTCGGCCTGTGATTTTAAAGTTACCCTCCTTGCATATAATAAATAGGTGGAAGTGCAAAGAACTTTCCTCTCCCTCACTGCTCTCACAGACGCTGGTGGGAGAGGAAGGACAGCTATTCTTTTGGCAGTGACATTTAGTGTCAGATCAGCTATGAAACCCAACCACCATCACGGAATAGCTGAGCGTCAATGTGCTTCCCGTTCACACACACGCTCCAAGGGGACGCAGCCCCTTGGACTGCCTCCTCCCAAGGAGGAGGGTTGGGTGCCTGCTCTGGCATCCCACTGGAGCAGCGCCAGCCTTCCCTGGCTGTCTCCAGAGCCTCCATCTTTCATCCCTTCCCCCTTCTATTGGGAAGGAGCTCTGTCAGCAGCACACAACAAGAAACCCAGTGAGCATCTGAGTGGAAAGCCTCAACACTTCTGCAACTCAAGCAGGCAGTAATTTGGAGATGAGGAAAACCAGGCCCATCCAGGCACACACCACGACAGATGCTTTGGATTGAATCACCACACACGCTTCAGATACAACCTAGACTTAAACTCACAGGTTTTAGCCGGGCTCAAAGTTATGCCAAGCCAACAACAGATCGCTGAGACACCAGACTGAGCTTCAGCTTGACACAAAAAGGCTTTGAAGGCAGAGGGTGAGGGATAATGATAAAATGTTTCTGCTCTGAGGAGCTTCTAAACCTCCCTGTACCCCACAGCCTGCAGAGGGTAGCCAGGGGCTGGATCCAGTGACAGGACAGAGATCAGCATCTTCAACCCTTGCCAGGAGGAAAATAAAAAAATAATAATAATAAAAAAGCAAGCAGCTTTGGGGTTTTTGCCCAGCTCCATGCTCAAGCCCGGTCAATGAGCATTTGGAGAGAAAATCTGGTAGGAGGAGTTTGCATCCTGAAGATTTATTTAGCTCCTATTAAAGCAGCTGAATAAAACCCCAGCCAAACTCTGGTGGAACAGCTCTACCATGCTGTGTGAACAGGCTGTAGCTCCTCTCTAAAGATTAATCCTGGCATGGTTCTTTAGTTGCATATCCAAAGCATAATTCTGACTGAAAAAGAGATATGCTTGAAAGGTGACAGAGCAGCTCACAGTCCTAGACAAATGCATGTGAGAACTTAAACGCGTTTAAGTTCTGCACCTGCACCCCAGCATCTCCCTGTCTGGGTTGGCCGTAGGTGACAGACCTCATGCCCCGCACCCAGGGGACCTCCCCGTGTCCCCACATGGGCTGGCACTCAGTGGGGCAGCAGCTCTCGAGTCTGCTTCTGCCAGCTGACAGGGACACACACAGCCAGCTTAATGCTGCTGACATGATGGCATTCAACATGTGAATTTCTGGGCTCAAGTGCTTTCGCCCCAGGCTCAGCCTGCCAGGGACAGTGACAACTCAAGAGCTGAAGGAGGTCAGTCAATACCTACCAATACTTAGAGTACTTTAAACACTGCTCTTCACATGGAAAAACCCTCACCCAGTTAATCAACCAATTCCTCCCAGACACTAAAAGGTGCTTCACTGCAAGGACAGCTAAATTAAAGTCAATGAATCACACACCCCATCTATGCAAAGCTGCTTCACAGCTATGTACACCAAAGCAGCATCATTGCCAGAAAAAGTCTGATCAGCAAATCACACCTTAAAACTCATTGTGGGATATTTTTTTTTTCCCCCTGGAAAACTTACCACCTCAAAGGCAACAGAAAAATTCAGAGATTGGTCCTTTCTGGGGCAGTTTGGGAAGGGCCACAGCAGACAGGACTATACACCAGCACAGAGAGGAACTCAGACTCATGAAATGCTACAGACGTTGGATCTCCTGACACACCGCACACGCATGCACAGCACAAAAAAAAAAATCAAGAGGAACTTTTAAGTGCAGGATTCCAGCAAGTCCAGCATCAGCAAGATGCAAAAAGTAAACAGCAAGGTAATTCAGGTATTATTCCAGGGAAGGTCAGAGATGGTTCAGGCAGCTGCCTGCAAGTATTTCAGCTGGAGAAAAGAATTCAAGAGGGCTCTCCTCCTCACTAAAACTGGTACTATGGCCACAAGCCAGAATATGCTGGTGGCCCTCTAAGTAGGGCTCTTTCACGCTGCACTTGTCAGAAGCAAAGTGCCCACCCCTGCAGGGAGAAGCTCCGCTGAGTGTATGGGTTTGCACACCCCTGGGAAAAAGCCACCACCTACTCCGTGCTGGCAGTAGCTCCAGCGAGCTTCTACCTGTGCATTGAAGCCCCATGAGCAGAGAGCATGCCTTGGGGGGAGCAGTGATGCTGCTCACCCAGGGTTTTTTTCCCCCCAAAGCATCTGGCTGTCGTCTCAGACACTGAGAGAGACCTTCTCCTGGCCAGTCAAGTTCGCTGACTGACCCAGCCCTTTCCATACAGGATCTCAGATTGCCTCAGGCCCTTTGGGTAACCTATGAAGGACCAAAAGTGTCAGTGCTTCTAATCTACAAGTCTAATAGGTTAATGCAAAACCAAAACGCACAACACAGAAAAGCCAAGCGTGGGACCTACAACAGACAAATACTTGTTCTTTTTTATAAGACTCGCAGGGCAGGAGTCCTGCTGAGACGCAAAGAATACTGCGTGCTGTAGCATTCCTTTCCAAAAATATCACCTAAAGACGCTTACGTATTACAGATGATTTGGCATCAGAGTTAGGGAGCATCAGTGCCAGCACAGGTTATATGCTAGAAAGATGACTCCACATGACAGGGTTTTCACATCACCTCAGGCTACAAAGTGCTTACAGGTTGTGTCGGGACTGAGGCTGGCACTGCTCTGAGGACATGTATCCACCATCAGTCCCTGCCCACCCCAGGCATACAAGCAAGTTCAGCTCATCGCAGGCAGCATCACCCACACCTCGCTGCCTAAGCCCAGCATGCCATCTGTGCCAGGTCAGACAGAGGGCTCTTCTTGGGTCATGAGGTGGCAACAGGGTAATGCTGTAGGCTCAGCAGATCTGATTTCACTGCCTCCCTCTGCTCTACGTGATGTGAAGACTCAAAAGTCCTCCTGGTCTGGTTTAGAGAGGATGGTGCTTCTGCTTCTTTATTTATTATAGGTATCAACAAAAAACAAGGAAGCCTTCCTCCTCCTCCCCTGCCATGGAGAAAAGCTTTCCTATAACACGTGCTCAACAAAGAAATCCTCTCCCTAGACCAAAGTGAGGTGCTAAGGCCAAGACTTTAAATGGTCGCACTTCAAATCACTTAAAAACGCTTGCCAAGATCTGCTCTGCCTCCCAGGCTCCCACAGTCACCACTCCTGCCACCCGAGCGCCCGCTGGGGCAAAGCCACACACCCCGTGTAAAGGAGCAAGCACAACACACACACAAGCACACGCTGAAAGCCATCCCGGCCTCCTCTGCACATCACAAAGCAGCAGTAAAGGTTTCAAAGCCCAGTTAAGTCCTTTGCATCTCTCCTTCACAGATGACTCAAAAGCAGGGCTAGGAAGCTCTTTTGTACATTCAACTGTAAAACATGTGAGGAAGAGGAGCAAGACAACTCTCCTGATTGTTGCTACTGCCTACAGCAAGTTTTGGTACAGATATCCTCTCTTATAGGCACTCAGTGGGTAAAACGTAGCCACAACAAACTTGCCATCAAAAATCTTTCCAGTCAGCATTTTTTGGGCAGCTTTGGAATCAGCAGCATTTGCATATTCAACAAAGACCTGAAAGAGAGAGAAGAAATAGGACTTCCAGTGCAGCATGCCACCTCCCACCCCTGCAACCAGGGAAACATTCTTGAATAAATTTTTCCCCTCTATCCTTGGTTGAGCCCAGAGCAGCAGAGATAAAAAGGAAGGAGCTGCACCTCTGAACTGGAATTTCACCTCTTGCTCCTCATTTTTAAGGGGAGCATGTTTGCTAAGGTGGGAGAAAATACGATGATGCTCTACATCTTCAATGCTTCCTCTCCCACCCACTGGCTTCTCCCCTTCCCTCCCATATCCCAGCTCCTCTGCTAAGGCTGTTTGGGCACCTCCCAGGTCATGTAACTTTACACAACCAGGAAGGAACCTGTGCTGTCCTTCAAGATAACCAGCTATTTTTAGCATTGTCATCAGCCAGGAGATTTCCAGGAGCTGAGCAGCAGTCCTGCAGCACATGGAATGTATGTGGGAATACACAGCCTCTTCCCTCGATTCACTTACTTGGCCTTTACCAGGATTCTCCTTTGGAATAAGCAAGGAAACCACCGGTCCGTATTTCTGACACTCCTCCCTTATGTCTTCCAGGATATCTGAGAAACAAAAGATCTGGTTGTCTTTAACTTTGCAAACTAGGATGAGCCAAGAAACAAACGAAGGCCAGAAGAACACATCAAGAACACTCAGTCAACATACAGTCTTTTCCTCTCAATTTAAAATAAACAATCAAGAGGTGCCACAGCAGAAGGTGGTATTGCTTAATGGCCGCATAACGAGACGAAGTGTCTGAACTGAGGCTCAGGAACAGCAGGGTTTGGAGCATATGGATAGTGCTTTTCCTTGCACACAAAGCCCAGCCTTTCAGTAGCTAAAACATTTGGGATTTGTGAGTGCTTTTCTTTTTTTTTTTTTTGTTATGGTGCTTGGAGGAAGGGAACTAAAGTAGCTGCCACAAACCCTTCTTTGTGTGAGCAGAACCCAGCCTTTTAAATTCATATCCCCAGAGCTCTCTAGCTTTTGCTGCTCACGTGGATTTGAGAGCAACCAGAAATGCAAATTCCACCAACATGGCTTGCCACCTACCACGTATAGTTTTTGTTACAGTTTAAGAACTCCAACGAGATATTTCAGTTCTCTGCTGAGATCTTGGATAAGTTCATTAGCAAACCTTTAAGGATCTCTGCTACTGGGCTTCAGAGTCATGTGCATGTCCAGCAGAAGCTCAAAGCCACAAACACATTATGAGGTCTGTGGGCATTTAATCAAAGAAGAAAATTAAAATAAACTTGTTTGTTTTAAATCTGGGATTCTCCAAGAACTCACTGCAGGCTCTGCTCTCTGTCTCAGCCTCTTAGTCTATTCTCTGTTGGTGCAGTTGACCCACTTGGTACCAAATCTCAGCTGAGCAGTTCTTTGTGTGCTGTTCTTGTGCCTATTAACTGCTCTTCTGCTTGCTCTCGCATTCCCAAAGCCAAACAAAACAGAGTCTATAAGACAACATTGCTATAGAGGAATCACACGGCTTGCACCAACCTTCATATTCTTCTTCACACTGCAGAGAAGCATCGCTTAGAACATTTAGCAGCCGCAGCACAGGCGTGGGGAGCATCACCAAATCCTCGATATGGGGAGCTGTTTGGCACCCACAGAATTAGAGAAAAGAATTCAAAGTCCAAAGGAGCAAAAAAACAGAAAGCTGTGTCAATATGCACCATCATACACAAGCACTGACTGCTCTTTGCAGTACAGTTTTGCTTCTCTCCACTATTACCTGCATTTACAGCATGCATTCTCCCTGTTTCTAACTTATCTTCACCTGTGCACTGAGAGACTCTTCCAAAGGGTTCAGTGCACCCTGCAATTATACTGAGGCCAGTACCTGAAATTGCTTTTAAAATTACAAAGCTAGCAGAAATTAAGACTAGCTACTTAGCTTAAGACTATGTCTACTTAACTCAGATTCAGAAATTGATGTGACTTCAAGAGCTATGCTAGTTGAACAAACCACCTTGTATATATGGAGATGCAAGA